AAAGATCTTATCTCTAAAATCAAGACATACTAAATTCTAAAGCTTAGGTCCTTCCACCATGTACTATCCATTTACTTCTACCACTTACTATCTATATGACGTGAGCTGGAGTCTGTTTCCTCACATATAAACTAGGAATATTATATATATATATATATGTCATAGAATTATTATAAGGAGTATAGAGTACATGATTGATTAATGTCAGTCTCATCTCCCTTCCTTTTAATACAAATGATAAGACTATAGGTGACTTTTTTCCACTGTTTTTCCAAGCTTCTGTAATGCAATCAAAATGTTATATAATAAAGATATTTTTATGCATAAATGAAACTTCAAATATTTCATATTCACATCCCTCTTAACAGCAGTTTTACTAGATGCTTTGTATAATCTGTTCAAGAGCTTAAATCTCTATTTCTGATGCGGGAGGTAAGTGGTAGAAGGAAAATTAAACAGAGAAAGCCACAAGTTTAAGACTACACTAGCACAGACACACAGAAAACAAAAATGTAGAGAGCCAGAGTGGGAAATGGCAAAAGGAAATGTTTGGGGAAATTCCCTGACTCAGACAATCCAGAGAAAAGATAACATTCCTCTTTTCAATCTAGCTACAATTCCAAGCACTCCTCATCCTAATTTAGGGTTTATATGTAATTACTACAAACACACAGTTCACTCTCCTTCCCTCTACTAATGGTCATTCCACCCTCATGGTCAAAAATTTAAAGAGTGAAGAAATATTTAGAGTGTTGCAACAAAGACAAACCAACACATCAGTTGGGAAATAACTGCACTAAAACACACTCATTCCCAAGCGTATCTACTCATCAGCTGATAGTCATAAAAGGAATCAGGATCTTGAAATACTCAGCCTGGTTATAACATCTGCTGCTAGAACTAGGAAAAAAACAATACTTTGACGCCTGCATCTGACGTCCTTCATTACAACCTTGTATTTGTACGCAAGGGCCTAAAAATAAGATAGCAGCAAAAGCCTACAACTTCAAATCACTGCTAGTTATAGCAGAAAGATGGTGGTGCAATGGTTAAGAACCTGGCTGCAACAGGAAAGTTGGAAGTTTGAATCCACCTACTGGCTCTGTGGAGAAAAACTAGGTGATCTGCTTCTGTTAATATTGTTGTTGTTAGGTGCCACTGAATCAATTCTGATTCATAGCAACCTGAGGAGCAACTGGTATGTTTGAACTGCCAACCTTGAGGTTTAACCAACCTTGCGGTCTAGTGCATTATCCTGCAGCCTAGAAAACCCACTAGGGTAATTCTATTCTGTTACAAGGGATCGTTGAGTTGAAAGACTTGATGAAACCCAACAGTACGATGATAACAGCTAACATTTACTCAGCATTGATTCTGAGCTAGAAAGCTAAGGGCTTAACATGAATTAGTAATTTAAACCTTTAACCTCTATGAAAGGTTATTAAGTTCATGTGCTTAGTGCTCATACAGCTATATTTGAAACCAGCAGTTTTATTTCAAAATTCACAACTTTAAATTTTATCTCATCATGCCTCTTTATTAATATAGGCATAAACACAAATGTTAACTAAAATTCTACATAGATATATTTGTGAAAAAGTTTCAATGAGTTAGTAGAAGCAAAAGATAAAATTCTAAATTGCAAAAACATAAATTAGATCAAAATGTTGACAATTAGGTAATATACCCCCATCCCCAATAAACGGCATCCTGAAAGTGCGAGTATAACAGTTAACATCTTCAAGAAACAGATCAAAAAGGAGCATTAAGCTTGCAGTAAAAAGATAAAACACCACAGAAGGGTTAAAATGTTAAATCTTTTCTAAAAAATTGATCAGATATATAATATAGGTAAACATACTTTGTAAACTAAAATATTTTAATGCTTAGGTGTTGTTTTTAATGTTTAATTGTGTTTGGCTCAGACTTTTTGTATAAACCCTAGAAACTCTTTTTTTCCCTTTTTACAATCAAGAATTATAGGTCACTATAATTTTTCACTATTTGCTGAATTTCCTAATAGATCTACGACTCAGTAGTAGTAATACTACTTAGTCTTAAAGTTGCTTTAGACAAAAGAAAAAGAACTGAGTACCACGTACATTTATTCAACCAAAATGTTTTCATGCATTTCATTTCTTTCAAGTAATAACTCCTAACAATGGCAGTTACTGCAAACATTTCAATAAGTTTATCAAGCTGTTGTTTGTTTGCTTATTGCTAGGTCTTGGTAACTTTTTAAAGACCTCAAACTTCATAAAAACAAAACTGCTCAGAAATTTTTATATTCTGCATCTGGTTTCACTGGAAGTCAATTTAAAAACTAAGTCACCATATATTAAATAAAGTTTCTAAATTATTGCTATCTAACTAAACTGGTGTGACGCTGTGGGTTAATGTGCCAGAATGCAAAGCCAACTGAACTGCAAGGTCAGCGGTTCAAGCTCACCAGTTGCTCCTCGGAAACCCTATACAGGGTCACTATGGGTCCGAATCAACTCAATGGCACTTAACAACTACAACCAAATCGAACCAAAGTGCTCATTAACATAATAGTGGTTTGACAAGTATTCACAAAAATATTCCTTTGTTTTGTCTTTGTTATTGTTGTTGTGCTGTTGTTAGATGCCATCCAGTCGGTATCTACTCATAGCGACCTATGCACAACAGAAATGAAACACTGCCCAGTCCTGGGCCAAGCTCACAATTGTTACCACGCTTGAGCCCATTGATGCTGCCACTTTGCCAATCCATATCACTGGGGGTCTTCATTATTAGTTACAGGTATTTACCTTTTCATACCCATGACAAATGAAAAGGGCAATGGAGAGCAAGTTAAGAGAGAATTTTCCACTATGTTACTAACTTACAATCTCCAGTATTCAATCTTGAAGACTAGACTGTAAGGAGGTAGGACTTGTTTTCTGCAATTTAAAAGTTGAGTTATGCATTTTATTGAGCTCAATATACCTCCTACTCATTAATCCAGCAAGCTTGTTCTCTATTGCAGAAAAAGAAAAACTAAGAGAAAGAAAATATGTATCTGAAGAGAAACAAAAACTGAAAGTTTTAAATCATGTTGAAAAATTCAAATTCCATTAGAATACAGAGATGTAAATAAAGTTGTTGTTGTTGAGTACCGTGCAGTCGGTTCTGACTCATAGTGGCCCTGCACAGGGTTTCCGAGGCTGTAAATCTTTACGGGAGCAGAACGCCTCATCTTTCTCCGGCGGAACAGCTGGTAGTTTAGAACTGCCGACCTTGAGGTTAGCAGCCTAATTCATAACCACTACGCTACCAGCGATCTCATATATTTAACCGTCCTTTCAATCAAGTATTCAATTAATGTTGTTCATGTAACCTGGCAAAAACAAAACATTAGTTGTTTTCACATTCAGAACTGCAAATACTAGTTACCACCATTACCCAAGATATAATATATCCATAAATGTAGTATAACTTTAGATTGTTAAATGACCTAAGATTTACGCTGCCATTCTCTTAACAGCAATACACATACCAACGTATTAGTAACAGCCTTTATGTTTCACCTATTTAAAAAACCTCCCAATGCAATACAGCTGCCATCAAATTACCAGATACACATGACACTTAAGGCAAACAGCAGGTTTCCCTTCTTTGAGAAACTTTAGTTGTCTACTCTTTAAAATGTTTTTCTCCTTTTTTGACCAAAAACAATGTAACTAAACTACTGCAGGGAGGGGAATACACAGTGAGGGCAAATCTAACCTGTCATTCAGATGCAGCAAGCCCGACTTAAGTCAAGACTGGCCAGAAACAGATGACGGTGTTGGTATTTCAACCGAAATTATTAACTAGTATACAAAACAGGACCACCATTCATTCAGGCACCTGTGTTTATTCCCTCTAATAGTACAGCTTACTGACCACTCAAGATTTGGAGTCTTAGCAGTAAAGTTTTGCATCACAAATTTCCTATCAGTATTACTTAAATAGTTTAAGAAAACTTCCCTACTAATGTTGTTAAACCATGGATGGATCCCAGCACAGGAGTCGTCTGTAATATTCTAATAACAAGTAACCTTTAGTTCCACCACCTAAGTTTCCAATTAGTGAGAAGGGTCTGAGATAACTCCTCTTCAGGTTCACGGGAGAAGTGAACACGCCTGCTTTCCTCTAGCAGAGACTAAGCTCCCAGAGACACAAAAGGCCAGGAAATCAGACCTGAAGGGGCAAAAGCCTTCTGCTGGACAACCACCAAGCTCCAGCAACCCAAACACTTTGAGCGATTTACCTCTTGCTGTAACTTCCCAGGCACCTAGCTGCAAAAGATCTTGCAGAACGGGGGAGGTGGGAGTGGGAGTGATGCACGGTCCTGGTCCCAGGAATGGGGATGGGTGTGCACAGTTTAAAGCCAAACCGGAGCTTTTGGCCAACACCGAGCAGCACCGAGGAGTGGGGTTGGTGACTGCTCTCGGACCGCCCCGTTACTCAATGCACTGCAATGGCGACCGCCAGGCTCCCCTGGCCGCCAGATCCCGGCCCCTTCCCCCTACTGCTCACTGGCTGCTCCGCTTCATGTGACTAAACAAAACCCCCAAGTCTAGTGCCCAGCTCAGCCCCTTTGTGTCCGCTACCGGATCCACCGGCGCCTCCGTGGAAAGGCTCCCCCACCTCCTCCGCTGAGTACTGCCCCGCGGCGGCTGCCGCCGCTCACCTCAAGCTCCGCGGCCCCCCGCGGCCGCCGCGGCCGACGCCTCCCCGAACCCGGGGCCCGGGCTCCTTGTGTAGCACCAACTCCGCCTCCTCGGCCGCCGCCGCCATCTTAGCCTGTGCGGCAAAATGCGTCCTTTTGGATGGTTGGGACCCAGCCTAGGGCGTAGCTCCCCCGGCCCGAGCGCCAGAGGCCGGGTCCCCCAAGTTCTTCCGCCACCCTCACACCCAACGCCGCCAAAGCCCAGAGGCCCGAATCCCACTTCGGTCCCAACGAATCCGACCAAATAACCCCCGAAACTCACAGTTTGGTGCCGTGTGCGTCAAACCGGGGCGACGTTGGGAGCGCGCGGCGTCCCCGCGTCACACGCCGCTCTCTGTACGCTACTCAGCTCCTACGGCCCCCTCCGTTCTCCGCTTTTCGCCTCCGGCCCCAGATCCCACAGCGCAGGCGCGCCACTTTCCCGCCTCTGCCGAGCTGCGGGCCGCGGGGGTGGCCAGCGAGGAACTCCTGGGCAGCTCTTCGCTGGTGCAGCGTCTGGACCAATTAGACAAACCCGGGCGGCAGAAACAGTGCACCACTGTTCTCGGGTGCCAGAAACCAAACAAGGTCACCTCCTCCAGCTCTGACCTAATCACTCCCAAGGAGGCTCCCGCCCCAAAGTAGGCACGCTCCAAATATGGTGGTGCCCAAACTCTGCAAAACCCAAACACTAGGCAAGCCTAGGCCCTTTAAGGTGGAATAGACTCATACTTCAGTTCCACAATAACTAGCCTGCCAAAGTCCCTTTTATTTTCCTACTGTCGAGGAAAAGAGTTAGAGGATTTAAGATTTTGTGCAACTCAGTACTTCAACTGTAGAGTAATGGCAGAAGATTTTACAGAAACTTACGAGGACCAATTGTGGGGAGATGCTTGATGGCCCGAGGAAACCTCAAGTGTAGCTTCTCAAATTAAAAGAATAGCCTACCCTGTACCTAAAAAGGTCTCCTGGGTCTGGTGCAATTTGATAGTGTAACAATACTTTCTCCATGCATTATTGAATGTGCCAGCGTCCTCCAAATTAAAGTTATGCAAACAGTACTTTAGATGTTGGTTAAACTTCCAAAGAAACAGTAGGTCTTAAAAGAATCAGAGGATTGTGGGTATCTTCCTTCTTAACAAGCATCCACTGCTGGTTTCTGAGGACAGAGTTTCACTGATTACGCTTTGAGAAATACTGACTAGCTACAATTATTACCTTTCCTTTCGAGCTGAGCAAGCAAGAAGTTACTAACATATTTGACATGAACCAGTTCCTGAGACATCCACAAACGCTGCCTCAATAAATCTGCGTCCTTCTCTTAACCTGTTTTCACAACTCATTAAAAAAAAAAAAGTTTTCATTAGTTTAGCAGCTACAATAAACTGTGGTCCTTGAAACACTAAAGATGCATTGTTTCTGAACATACCACTATTGCACTTACTTGACAAGAATGACAAACTTTTTTCCCCTCATAACCATCAGTAAACATGGTTTGATACTTGACTAAACATTTACATTTGCTGCATTAGCTACTAACAATAGGTAACACTTTTGAGTGCTTACTATATACCAGACATTATTCTAGCTCAGGCAAGTTCATTACAACTTAATGAGGCAAAGAGAAGTTACATAATTTTCTCAAAATCACAGCGATATCAAGTTTTAAAATATATTTGAAAAAAATATATATATTTGAACTGAAACTCTCTGAATTCAGAAACTATTCTCTTGCCTCAATATCAGCTATATTAGTATTTGGGCTCTTTCAATATGCAAAATTTTCTTCCTCATTTATATACATACCATCAGTTGCCATGGAGCCAATTCCAACTCATAACCACACAGTGTGTGTCCGAGTAGAACTGTAATCTACAGGGTTTTCAAGGGCTGATTTTTTTCAAAAGTAAGCCACCAGGACTTTCTTCTATGATGCCTCTGGGTGAACTAGACCCTACAACTTTTTGGTTGTTGTTGGTAAGTGACATTGATTTGATTCTGTCTGATTCATAGCAAACCTGTATTGGGTTTCTGAGGAGCAGCTGGTGGGTTTGAACCGCTGACCTTCTAATTAGCAATCCAGGGCTTATCCTACAGTGCCACGCCAGAATTCCAAAACCTTTTGGTTGTTGTTGTTGTTGTTGTTGTTGTTGTTAAGTGCCATCTAGTCAGTTCTAATCCATAGCGACCCTGTGTAGGGTTTCCGAGGAGCAGCTGATGAATTTGAACTGCCGACCTTGCAGTTCAAACAGCTTTGGGACATTTCAACAGCATCAAACCAGGTTGTTGTTGTTGTTGTTGTTGTTAAGTGCCGTCGAGTCTATTCCGACCCACAGCGACCCTGTATAGGGTTTCCGAGGAGTAGCTGGCAAGCTTGAACCACCAACCCTGCAGTTCAAACAGCTTTTCAGTCTGGCCCATTAACTCACAGCGCCGCACCATCAAACCAGGTTGTTGTTGTTGTTAAGTGCCGTCGAGTCGGTTCCGACCCATAGCGACCTGTACAGGGTTTCCAAGGGTGTAAATCTTTACGGGAGTAGAAAGCCTCATCGTTCTCCCCCGGAGCGGTTAGTAGTTTCGAACCGCTGACCTTAAGGTTCGCAGCCCAATTCGTAACCACTACGCCACCAGAGCTCCTTTCAAACCAGGTTAGTAGACAATAAATAAATGTACCCATATTTTTAGCCAGTTTGAGGAGGGGGTGATTTGGGACATTTCATCTGCAGAATCCATTAAAATGGGACATTTTCAGGGTCCTACTAGACTTATAACAAAGAAAAATAGTATGGCATTTTTCTCATGGCATTTTATCACTACAAAAGGAGTTATCAACAGAAACTCTGCTGTATGAATGTATACCAATGAATGTGTACAGAGATCAGACTACAAGCAAATACCACCACTCAAAAGTCAGCCATCATTAGGAACTGATCAGACTCATGAAGTCATTTCTGTACACTACAACAGAAGTAATAGTAGTAGTAATTCTAATAGAAATAGTTATCACTCATGAAGTTGTTTATTTTTTTTTTAATCTATAAAACTATGAGGGGGTTTCAAAATCTGCATAGAAAAATGGAATTCAAAGATAAGGAGCCTGCTTGTATCTATGAGTAAGAGAAAACATTAACAGTAGAAAGTTTGAATAAGGTAACACAAAAAGAGAAAATAATAATGTAGGCAGCTTTGAAACAATCCAAGGACCATTAATTGACTCAATGTTGAAATACTTTAAAACGTTAAAATGAAATTGCAGTCGAAAATTAAAATTAAGATATGCAAAACAGCTTAGCCCTGGGAGATATTTGTAAAGCATATCTTACTCACTGTGAATAAAATACTACTATGATAAATACAAGAAACCCTCATAGAGTAGTGGATTATGAGCTGGCCTGCTAACCACAGGTGGTGTTGCTGTTGTTGTTATGTGCCATCGAGTCGGTTCCGACTCACAGTGACCCTGTAAAGGGTTTCCAAAGCTATAAATCTTTACGGGAGCAGAAAGCCTCATCTTTCTCCCATGGAGCAGCTAGTAGTTTTGAACTGCTGATCTTGTGGTTCGCAGCCCGATTCGTAACCACTTCAGTGATTTGAATCTAACAGTGATTCCGTGAGAGAAAGATGAAACTTTCTGCTCCCATGAAGATTTACAGACTTGGAAATCCTATACAAGGTTACTATGAGTTGAAACCGATTCTACAGCACTTAACAACAACATGATAAACATACCTGGTAAAAAGGTTTATTAGCAAAATAATAATAAAAAGCAAGGTCTGATGATCGTTAGTATGTTACAGTCTGACCATACTAGCATGATATGTGAATCCATGATATACTGATTTAAGCCACCATTCATCTGTCAGTTTGTCATGTTGTGGTGACTTGCTTGTTGCTATGATGCTGGAAGCTATGCCACCAGAATTTTTAATACTAACAAGGTCACCTATATCGTAGGCAGGTTTCAGTTGAACTTCCAGATATGACAGACTGGGAAGAAGGAAAGGCAGACTACTTCTGAATGTTTAAGGCACTGAAACATTTAAGGCAGTGAAACAGCACCAAAATACTGAATCTTGAAACATGATGAAGAGCACCAGAATATTGTCAGATATAGTACCAGAAGATGAGGCTTACAGGTTGGAAGGCATTCAGACTGTGACTGGGGAAGACCTGCCTAGTCAAAGTAAAGTTTAACAAGGAGAACCAAATGGAGTAAAGCTTCACTTGATGGGACACAAGTGAGAATGAGGAGAAACAGCTATAAACATCCATTAATAGTTAAAGCATGGAATGTATCAAGTATGAATCTAAGAAAATTATGTTGTCAAAAATGAAATGGGACAAATAAACATTGATATCCTGAGTAGGTACTAGTGAGCTGAAATGCATTGGTATTGGAAATTTGGAATCAGACAATCATATGTTTTACTATGCTAGGAAAGACAAATGAAGAGCAATGGCATCACATTCATAATCAAAAAGAACATTTCAAGATCTATCTTGAAGTATAATGCTGTCTGTGATAGGATAGTATCCAAACACCTACAAGGAAGACCAGTTAATACCATTATTATTCAAACTTACGCACCAATCACTAAAGCCAGTGATGACGAAATTGAAGAATTCCACGAATCCTGATGTGACATTATAAGATAAGCACTGAACTGCTAACTACAACGTTGGTGTTTCAAACCCCATCAGCCACCATTTGGAAACTCTATACAGGGTCTCTATGAGTCGTACCTGACTCCACAACAACTAACAACAACAACAACAAAAATATCAAGTCTAAAATTGATAAAACATGCAATCAAAATGTATTGATAATTACTAGTGATAGGAATACAAAGGTTGGAAACAAAGAGGAAGGATCAGTAGCTGGAAAATATGGACTTAGTAGTACAAATGATGCTGGAGATCGCACGATAAGAGTTTTGCAAAACCAATGACTTCTTCAAGTATTATAATAAAATTGTAAAGATCTAGAGTTAGAAAACCAAAAGAGAAGAACATTGTCAACATTTCTCAAATTGAAAGAACTGAAGAATAAATTCAAGCCTCGACTTTCAATACTGAAAGATTCTAAGGGCAAAATATTGAATGATGCAGAAAGCATCAAAAAAAGATGGAAGGAATACACATAGTCACTGTACCAAAAAGAAATGGTCAGTGTTCAACCATTTCAATAAGTAGCATATGATCAAGAACCAATGGTGCTGAAGAAAGAAGTCCAAGGTGCATTGAAGGCATTGGCAAAAAACAAGGCTCCAAGAATAAATCGGAGAAATTTAAATCTTTCAACATACTGATGCAGCACTGGAGGTACTCATGTATGCCAAGAAATGTGGGAGACAACTATCTGGCCAACTGACTAGAGGAGATCGACATTTGTGTCCAGTTCAAAGAGAGGTAACCCAAAAGAATGCGGAAATCATTGGACAATATCATTAATATCATGTACAAGTAAAATTTTAATAAAGATAATTTTAAAACGATTGCAGCAATATATTGACAGGGAACTGACAGAGATTTAAACCAGATTCAGAGGCG